TGTTTCCTGTTTTAGATGTCTTTTGGCTTGGCGTGAAGACTCCTAGCCGTTGCACAGAATGTTTTCCTGGCTCCAACAATAAACAGAAGTGTAGAGGCGGCGTCGAGTTTGGCCCACGGCATAACACGTACGAGTGCACAAGAGGAGGACGGTGTCTATGCCCTCAGGTCCCGTGTTCAATTTCTAATTATATAAAGATGAGTTTAAAGGGTTGGTCCACTTTAACAAATGATCATTGGTCTTTTCATAAAAAGGAATAAAAAAATATAACATATGTTCCGAATTATATAATGTTTTAAATATTTAAATATGGACTATATACGGACAGAAATGAGCGAACAGACACTAAAATGTATCTATATACATGCGGTTTAGGAAAAAAATTACTCTGTTCATTCATAAATATAAGATGTTTTGGATATTTCAGTATAGATGGCATATAGACTGAAACGTGAATAAACATATTAAAATACGTCTATATACACTGAATCAATTTTTTTTTAAACATTTTCTAATTCGGAATGGAGGGTAGACAAGTACTCATACTTACTTGTGAATAAAATGCAAGGAATTTTGTGACGCCCAAAACTGTCCCTGAAACCCGAGGAAAGGAGGAGGTGAAGGCAGCCACAGGAAGCAAATAGCCATCACGCTCGCGTCACCGGCCGCCGCTCGTCTCCCTCCCTCCGCCTGCCTATAAACACCGCGCACCCACACACGGCCACACCGCATCACACCCACACCCACGCACGCCACAGGAGAGACCGACCGCGCGCGCACGCTCGAACACGGCACGGCGGAGCCACCACCTGAGATTCTGGCGCCCGGTCCCACCTGCCACCCGAGACTTGCTACCCCGCCACCTCGTTGACAATGGCGGTGGCGCGGCTGCGCTCGGCCACCGCGACGGCGGCGGCGGCTGCGGCCCGGCTCCAGCCGGCGCTCGCGGGCCGGCGGCACCTCGGGACGGCGGCCGCGGCGGAGGCCCCGGAAGCGGTCGTCGGGGCGGGCGGCGCGCGGTGGGAGCCGATGGGGGCCCGGGAGTACTACGACTACCGGAGGGCCATCTACGGCGACATCACGCACAAGGCCATCCTCGTCGACGCCGCCGGCACCCTCCTCGCCCCCACCGAGCCCATGGCCCAGGTCGGCCTACGCCCTTCCCCCCATATACCGCACCTCCAATTCATGTTCCTCTGTTTGTTCCGCTTGATTCTGTTGGCCGTTCCCATGGTTGACGGAGGCCTGCATGTTTTCTATGCGGTGCACACGCTGAGGCAATGCGTGGCGTTTGGATCGATCTGATCCGTACTCCCGTAAGCCGTTCCCTTCGTGTGTGTTCGATTGTTCATAGATTTGGGTTGTGAGAACCTGGACAGATTTGCTTCTGCTGTTCATTTCTGGGTTGTGTGGATTTATTTCTCCATGCATGATGAATTGCGGACAAAATCTCCCTTTCCTGTGTTAATTGGGCATGCATGCGGGTTTGATTAATATGGCTTGTGCTCTGAATGTTAATACAGGTGTACAGAACAGTAGGCGAAAAGTATGGGGTTAAGTACTCGGAGGATGAGATCTTGATGAGGTACCGGCAGGCATATTCGCAGCCATGGGGCAGATCGCGGCTTAGGTATGGCATTTACCTTTGGATTGTCCTCTTGTTTCAAGTGCGAGTTTGGATGTGATGTGATTTCACTATTCGAGCATCTTCGATGGCTCTGTCTGATTTTGTTCTTGTGCACTCGTATTGAAATGAATAAATAGCATTTAGGACGGTGATATTCTTGCCATAAATGCCCTTGTTCAATTTAAACAAGGATTATACATCAGGAAAACTCTGGACTAACTTGTCTTTCACTTCCTCGAACTTGTCCTTTTTAATCAATTGGATTGAAATACCGCCTCTTCAAAATTGAGAGTGACGTGCAGATATGAAAATTTTCAAGCGGAGTTAATTATCCCTCAATCTGAGTTAAGCTGCGAGCCAAGAAACCTTGGTGAGAAGTATAATTCCATAAATAAAGTTCTCACCAGAACGCAGAGGGATATTTGCGAGACTGCTGTGAGGATTCTATAATTCTCAATGCTCAGATTGAGATCCAGAAACTGGAATGGTCCCAAGTTCTATTTGGTGCTTGATGCAATTACCTTCTCAGATATGGCTGAGATAGTTTTATTTGTCTTTGGTGGTGCTAAAAGAACAACTGTGGGGTAGGAACATTGATTCTTAAGTTTCACATAGTATTCAGAAAGTAGAGAGTTTATTCTTATGCTAGAATTTGATTCTTCAGTTTCTGGCATATTCACAGTTAGTTTTAGCTGGTTTGTGTGCTTTATGAGCACTGAGTATCCTTGGGTGCGTTTTTCATAATACTTATCTGGAGACAAATCTGAATGGACTTGACTTTCGCAACATATATATGGACTGCGGTGATAGGTAGTACTGGCGATTCGATTCTTTTGTTTCTTATCAGCCTTGCATTCAGTTCCTCCTTGGAACGTGGAGTTATCCTGTCACAAAATAGTAATAAAATACGAGCTTGCCTTTTAGCCCACAGGGCATGTGGATTTTCGTACAAATTTGCGATTCATTCAGTCGAACATTTCAAACCTGTTAAAAAAAATATGCTGCTGCATGGACTTATGTTTCTCAATTTCTCCAGGTATGTTGATGATGGGAGGCCCTTTTGGCAACATATAGTTAGTTCTTCTACAGGCTGCTCAGATTTACAGTACTTTGAGGAACTTTATCATTACTATACAACTGAGAAGGTAAGAGAAAATCTGTAATCAAAATGATTTGAAACCTTCCTATTGTATGTTTGACCTCACAAACTGTTTTATGTTTGCTAGGCCTGGCGGCTCATTGACCCTGATGCTAAATATGTTTTTGAAGCATTGAGAAGGGCTGGTGTGAGAACAGCTGTTGTATCCAACTTTGACACCCGCCTCCGGCCACTTTTACAGGCCCTGAATTGCGATCACTGGTTCGATGCAGTTGCTGTATCTGCTGAGGTCGGTTTCCATTTACAGATGAGCTGCTTTAACTAAGCTTGTTAACTGAACCTTGACCCTGCAGCTACTGTCCTTTGTAACTATAAGTTCGACCTTCAGTTTTCCTATTAATGTTCGCCATTAAACCCTTGTTCTCTGTTTTTTCTGCTAACAGGTTGCAGCAGAAAAGCCAAACCCAACAATATTCCTGAAGGCCTGCGAGTTGTTGGACGTGAAGCCTGAAGAGGCTGTGCATATTGGTGACGACCGTCGGAATGATTTGTGGGGAGCTAGGGACGCAGGCTGCGATGCCTGGCTTTGGGGCAGTGATGTTCACTCCTTCAAGGAAGTAAGCTTTTCTGTCTTGTCTGCTCCAAAACTGAACTAGAAATCAATTATTGTCCAAACATGGCATCTAGGAGTGGCATTTCGCTGTCAGTCTAGTTGGGATTAATATACACTGCAAATAAAGATATGGCAGCTGTATGCTGTTACCAAGATCAGTTCATTAGGAGCAAACTGTTGTATTACAGATTATTACTTGGCTAGGTGCACCCTGGTAACTGTTCTATTTTGAAGAATCTCTTTAGTATTCTTATGCCGACGAAAGTGGGCAACATCCCTTTTCATATCAGCTGCAATTTTCAGAAATTATATGGTTGCTCACATCCGCACATCTGTATCGCAGGTCGCAGAAAGGATCGGAGTTAGCGTGGGTATGGGCAACAATATGTGATGTGATTCGCCGCGGTTGCTTGTAAGGCGGACTCTGCTGCGCCTGGCGGGCGGTCAGTGTGGATCGCTGCCCTTCCCTTCTTCCTGTCGAGTATATGCTCGCCGTGCCCCCTGAGCTTCAATAAAAAGGCTGGGAGGTGGTGCTTAGGTTGCCTCCTCTGTACATAGTGCCGGCCCTTCTTTGCTCAGGTGTGTGTGTGGCTATCCGGCCGCTGTACATATTTTCCAGGGAAGTGAGAACTGATGGCAGTGTCTCTTTGTGGCAAGGCCTTAATTTCCTAAGTCTATATTCTAGCAACAATATACGTATGTAATTAAGTGAACTCGATTTATCATTTGGATGCTTCCTGCCGCGTGCTCTGAAATCTGTGTTTCACGAGAATGGCCCCAACGTATCCACCGCATTTTGTACATTGGATTTGGTAAAACAAATTTATGAGGGTATTGCCTTGTGGTGCTCCATATAGTCTGTTTCATCACTACATGTGAATGCTTCCGAGGCACCCAACCCCCCCCCTTTGAACTGTGGAAAATATGTTTTGAAGTCAAACTGCAGAAAAGCAGCGGTGAAGTCGAGCTTTGGGAGTGTGGTGGAGCGGGCATTCAACCGAGGAGGCGCTGTGGGTACTTCAAAAGTGACCTCCCTAATTTCATCAACTGATGTGAGCACTTCTGATTTTATTGCCGTGACGCCACAGCTAACGTCGATCAGGAAGGCATCCTTCGTTTTTGCCCGACCCTTCGGTCCAGTGACAATCCTCGACAGCCATGTCGTCTGATGCTGAATTACATGATGCCAAAGTCCTCCATCAAAAGGTGTAGCAGCTAACGCTCGAGTGCTCATGACGTTAAAAGCACCCCAAATCCTAGAACTTGTCGATGATGTAATGGTTTAGTCCCACAACTTGCGAAAGCTCAAAGCTCACTTATCAGTTCTAGAACTTGTCTTGGATGTGCATGTTTAGTCCCGAGCCAATCACATGCAACCAAGTGGAGCCAGCTGGACCGAGCCGCTCGGCGTTGGAGTTTTTACAGATATCCCCCAGTTTTTACAGATATCCCCCTATCATTTATCGATGTCAATCCGCAAGACAACCACCTAGATTAGTTTTGTATTTATTTTCTGTTCGAATCCGGTTGGCTCCTCCTCACCCCTCCCCCTACTTACTTTTCTGCTCGCAGCTCTCCTCCTCGCCGCGTCGTCCAGCTCACGACCACCATCTAGCTCGCCGACATGGTTTCCTGGATTGATGAATCCAACTACTCGTCGGACGGTGACTCCGTTACCAGCCAAGTGAGTTTGACCCTGTACATCTGGCATTTAAGGTTAGGCAAAATGGGGAACTTTACTGAGCAGATTTTGTTTTAGCCTCCTGCCACCATTTTCTGCTCGGAATGGAGAGGCCTTGCTGCAGATCTTGCTGCTAGGAGTGAACACCAAGCCATCTGTGAGAAGTTTGTGGCCCTTGATTCAGTGGATAGTGGAAGGAGATTCCTGGCTTGTGCACAAAAGGTTAGTAGATTTCCAGATGTTCAGTTAACTGTAAATTCAGTTACCACAGTTTAAGTGTAGATGCTAGTGCCATTTAAGTGGATATGTGCTCTGTATAAACTGGATATGTGCCATTTAGGTTTGGATGATATTGCCTTGTCATTTCATTTAATTTTCGGCAATCAGTGCTCTGTGTAGTTCCATTTAAGTATGGATGTTAGTGTCATGTGTGAAGGAAATATGCCCTAGAGGCAATAATAAAGTTATTATTTTATATTTCCTTATTTCATGATAAATGTTTATTATTCATGCTAGAGTTGTATTAACCGGAAACTTGACACATGTGTGGATACATAGACAAAATACGGTGTCCCTAGTAAGCCTCTACTAGACTAACTCGTTGATCAAAGATGGTTAAATTTCCTAATCATAGACATGTGTTGTCGTTTGATAAACGTGATCACATCATTATGAGAATGATGTGATGGACAAGACCCATTCGTTAGCTTAGCATTATGATCGTTCAGTTTTATTGCTATTGCTTTCTTCATGTCAAATACATATTCCTGTTAAGCTTCATGCACTAGCCAACGCAACCAAAAGTACGAATTGATGGAAAGGGCTAGTCCAATCCACATATACTGTAACACCCCCTCTCACGTGTGACGGGGAAGACTAGTCAATACGTGCAATCGGAAGAGAGCGACGGCACGCGAAACTCATGTATGACTCAAAAGGCCTATACGTGGACACAAAAGGGGGCAACAACAATTTTTAGATAAAATGCGCAAACCAAGACTTAAACTCAAGACCTTAGCTCTGATACCATGTTAATCTTCATGCACTATCCAACACAACCAAAAGTCCGAGCTGATGGAAAGGGCTAGTGCAATCCACATATACTGTAACAATTCCTTCGACTATGAGATTATGCAACTCCCGGATACCGGAGGAATGCCTTATGTGTTATCAAACGTCACAACGTAACTAGGTGATTATAAAGATGATCTACAAGTATCTCTGAAGGTGTTTGTTGGGTTGGCATAGATCGAGATTAGGATTTGTCACTCCGAGTATCGGAGAGGTATCTCTGGGCCCTCTCGGTAATACACATCATAATAAGCCTATGCATCTCCTAGATAGATCTTGCGTGAGCATAGGATTTTTTTTGAAATTTCATGCTATGTTCCCCAACAATGTGCTCTTATCTGTTCTTGTAGAAGAATTGGTTACCAAAAAAATTAACAGTTTTTTGTGTGCCATAGTGCCCTAACTAGATTTGCAGTGCCCTGAATAATTTACAGTGCTCTTAATGTATTTCAGTAATGCCCCAAGTTTTAGTGTTAAAGTAGTTCAGTAACTAAATTTTTTCCAGATAACTGAATTTTTCCAGTTAGCAGAATTTTTTCTAGTTACCTGAATTTTTGCATTTAACTGTAATTTGTTTGTTTTCTTAATTGATAGGAAGGACCTAAATGCAGCTATGTGCAGTGGGTTGACCCAGAGTGGGCCGCCCCCCTTAAGACGAGTCTAGTTAGGATCCGTGGTATGTATGATGATGAGAACAAGCTTATGCTCAGGGGAAATGTAGCTAATGCTGAAGAAAACATTCAAATTCTAAGAAAAGGATGGAAAATGAGCTTAGATTTTTTAAACTAGATTTTGCAAAGATGGTAGCTGACAAGGAGCAGTCAATTTCCTAATTGGGCAATACACAGCTTGCTTTGTCTAACCTAAACCAAGATCTTGAGAAGAAGATGTCTGGCAAATCTGCCACTAGCATTCATTAGATGGTGAGGGCTAAGGCAGAGAAGGGGAGAGACCAACTAATGCAAGATAGAGACAAATTGATGGAAGAGAGGGACAATTTGGTGTTGCAGAGGGATGCGTTGAAGAAAGAGAAAAAGAAGTTAGAGTACATGATTGGGGATTTATGAAGGAAATATGCGCTAGAGGCAATAATAAAGATGTTATTTTATATTTTCTTATTTCATGATAAATGTTTATTATTCATGCTAGAATTGTATTAACCGAAAACTTGATACATATGTGAATACATAAATAAAATATTGTGTCCCTAGTAAGCCTCTACTAGACTAGCTCATTAATCAAAGATGGTTAAGTTTCCTGACCATAGACATGTGTTGTCATTTGATGAACATGATCACATCATTAGTAGAATGATGTGATGGACAAGACCCATTCGTTAGCTTAGCATTATGGTCATTCAGTTTTATTGCTATTGCTTTCTTCATGTCAAATACATATTCCTCCTACTATGAGATTATGCAACTCCCGGATACCGGAGGAATGCCTTGTGCGCTATCAAACGTCACAAACATAACTTGGTGATTATAAAGATGCTCTACAGGTATCTCCAAAGGTGTTTGTTGGGTTGGCATAGATCGAGATTATGATTTGTTACTCTGAGTATCGGAGAGGTATCTCTGGGCCCTCTCGGTAATGCACATCATAAGAAGCCTTGCAAGCAAAGTGACTAATGAGTTAGTCGCAGGATGATGCCTTACGGAACAAGTAAAGAGACTTGCCGGTAACGAGATTGAACTAGGTATGAAGATACCGACGACCAAATCTCGGGCAAGTAACATACCGATGACAAAGGGAATAACGTATGTTGTCATAACGGTTCAACCAATAAAGATATTCATAGAATATGTGGGAGCCAATATGAGCATCCAGGTTCCGCTATTGGTTATTGACTGGAGAGGTGTCTTGGTCATGTCTACATAGTTCTCAAGCCCATAGGGTCCGCACGCTTAACGTTCGATGATGATTTTATATTATATGAGTTATGATTTGGTGATCGAATGTTGTTCAGAGTCCCGGATGAGATCACGGACATGACGAGGAGTCTCGAAATGGTCGAGAGGTAAATATTGATATATAGGTCGACAGTATTCAGACACTGGAAGTGTTCCGGAGGGTACCGGGTACATATCAGGTCACTAGAAGGGGTTCCGGGCACCCCCCGGCAAAGATATGGGCCTAATGGACCAAAAGGGGAAACACAACAGGCAACAAGGGCTGTTGCGCCCCCATATGGGTCAAACCAGTGGAGGAAGGAAAGAGGAGAAGAGAGAAGGAAGGGGAGGGATTCGGCCTCCCCCTTCCTTCCCTCCTCTCTCCTCCTTCCTTCGCCCTCCGAGGGGGGGGGGGCAAATTGGACTAGGCCCCCAAGTAGGATTCCTCCTACTTGGGGTGCACCAAGGCTATTCCCCTCCC